GCGGGCCGCGATGGAGATCGCGCACGCGCGCGGCGACGACCGCGGCGCGCGCAAGGTCTGGATCCTGCACGAGTTCGAGGCGGCGCTCGTCGACGCCTGGGGCCTCTGCGAGTCGGAGCAGGCGAGCCTCGAGGCCGTGACCCACGAGCTCTGGAAGCGCCTCGAGGTCGCGCACCGGTGGCGCGGCGAGTTCGACGCGATCCCCGCGGGCGACGCGGCGCTCGTCAAGGTCTGGCTCGCGTCGAAGTTAAGCGTCGACTCCTTCCGCAAGACGGAGCGCCTCATCTACGAGCGCACGCTGAAGCGGGACCTGGACTACGCGAAGCTCTGGCACCGGCCCGCGGCGCCGTCGACGGCCGCCGTCGCGTTCGCGGCCGCGCTGTGCGTCGTCGCGTTCCTGCTGCCCGTCTACTACCTCGTGCTGACGGGCACGCGCCTCGGGCCGAAGCGGAGCTGGAGCTTCCTCGTGAACTTCGGGTTCGAGTTCGCGATCACGTACTTCCTCGTCGCGCCGCTGACGATCCTCTTCAACAAGGTCTTCCTGCCGTCGCTGCTCGACGAGCGCCTCAAGAAGGCGGCGCTCGAGGACGCCAAGGACGCCAAGCACTTCGCGGCCTACCCCTACGCGACGCCCCTGGCGCAGACGCCCCTCGACCTGCTCGTGGACCTCGAGCCGCGGCTCCAGGCGCACGTCGCGTCCGCCAAGTCGGCGAAGCCGTCCGCGCGCGGCGCGTCGCGCCTGACGCTGGCCGGGCCCGGCGGCGCCGCGGTCGTCGCCGCGGGGCCGAGCCTCGAGGTGCTCGAGGAGATCTACAACGAGACGCACTGGCGGCCGACGTGGGCGTCGTACGTCGCGCTCGGGCTCCTGGGCTACTTCCTCGAGCTCCCGGACACGCTCCAGGACATTCTGATGGAGGAGGTGCTGCTCTTCATCCCGGCGACGTCCTTCTTCGTCTCCAAGGGCATCTTCTCGGCGACGGGCCGCGTCCGCCGCGGCACGTACTCGAACGGCGGCTTCCTCCTCGTCTTCACGCTCCTCTTCGGGAACCTGTCGGCGCTGGCTCTGACGGCGTTCCTGAGCCGGGCCCAGGAGCGCAACGCGAAGCACCACCACGCGCGCCGCGAGAAGGCGCACGAGCGCGCGTCGACGTTCGCCCACGCCACGGACCAGGGCCGCTCCGCCTACGTCCTCCCGGGCCTCGACGACGACGACGACGACGACGACGACGACGACGACGACGACGACGACGAGGCGGCCGCGCCGGCCGCCGCCGTCCCGACGCTCGGCATCGCCTTCGAGGCGGCCGCGCCGGAGCCGGCGCCGGCGCCGGCGGACGACGACGGCGGCGCCGCCGACGGTCGCCATCGCCTTCAGCCAGCCCCCGGAGGACCAGGCGCCGGCCGACGACGACTGGGACCGGCGCGAGTCGCTCCACACGGAGCTCTCCGGCGTCCTCGCCAAGGTCGAGGCGGAGATCTGAGGGCCACGAACACCCCCCATCCCACAAACGCGAGGCTTCGGCCTGCAGCGTCACACCCCCCCCGTTTGCATCCCTGGAACCAAAACGCGAGGCCCAGGCCTGCAGCGTTGAATTCGCACCCTCCCCCCCAAACGCGAGGCCCCGCCTGCAGCGTTCCCCCGCCCGGGCCCCGCGCGCGAGGCCCAGCCTGCCGAGGCCCAGCCTGCAGCGTCGCCCGTCTTCTCAAACGACTGTCCGACACGACGGACATTACGACGCGGCGTCGTCGCGCTTCCGCTTCCCCGGGGCCGGCGCGTCCGCCGCGCCGCCGCCCGGCTTCGTCGCGAGGAAGATGGGCCGCCGGAACCCCTTGGGGATGGCCTCGTCGTCGGGCGTGCCCAGCAACACGACGCTCGCGAAGCCGAGCTCCTCGAGCACGCGCGGGAAGTCCGGCGGCTTGATGGCCATCGCGTCAAAGTGCGCGCGGATCTCCGGCGACGCGTTCTTCCGCTTCGCGTAGCTCTTCCAGGGCTGGGGCTCGTAGACGAAGCGCCCGCCGGGCTTGAGCTCGTCGAAGACGGTCGCGAAGAAGCGGCGGAGGCCCGCGTCGCCGTGGTTGAGGTGGATCCACTTGGTCACCGAGAACGCGGAGACGACGTCGTAGCCGTGGTCGCCCTCTTCGCCGCCCGCGGCGTCCTCGCGCTCGAACCAGAGGTTGTGGGGGAAGGGCGGCGCGCCGTAGGAGAAGACGCCCGCGTCGGGCGCGTCGGCGGCGGCGAGCGCGGCGCCCGTCCACGCGGCGGCGTGCTTCCGGCTCGCGGCCGCGACGGACGCCTGGGCCGCGCGGACGAGGCCGCCGTCCGCGTCGACGCCCAGGAGGAACCGCGGCTCGAAGCACCGCGCGAGCTGCGCGGTGAACGTGCCGTCGTTGCAGCCGACGTCCTTGGCCTTGGCGCCCCGCCACCAGGCCCCGTCGAGGAACCGGAGCCGCGCGTCGCCGCGGCGCCCGCTCTCGCTCGCGTCGACCTTCTTGCGGTAGCCGTAGTAGCGCTGGTGGTTCCCCAGGCTCACGACCTTCTCGACGGCGCGCGGGCCGCTGTACAGCTTCTCCTTCTTCTTCGACCGCTGCTCGCCGGGGTTCGTCGGCTTCGGCGGCGGCGCGGCGGGCTTTTGCGTCGGCGGCGGCGCGGCGGCGGCGTCGGGCTTTGGCGCCGGTGCGGCGCTGCGCGCGGCGGCGGCGAGGAGCGGGTGCTCCTCCTCCGCGGCGTCCGTGGCATCGGCCATCGCCTGCGGTGATTTGGTCGACGTTGAATGCCTCAAGCCGCCGATGTGCTCTCCCTGAGCCGAGCACCGCCGTGCGCCCGCCACCTACAGACGCCCGAGACCATGCCCCCCATCCCCCCGAAGCCGCTCCCGAGCAAGAAGAACGGCAACGCCCCGGAGGCCCGGGCCCGGTCGGGCGGCATCCTCGAGGCGCTGCCGCCGAACCTCTTCGGCGTCGTCTTGGAGCACCTCTGCGTGGAGGACATCTGCGACTACTGCTGCGTCGCGAAGCTCTTCGACCGGGGCGTCGCCTACGTGACGAACCTGGAGATGCGCACCGTCGCGAACGTCAACGCGGACCGCGACCCCGCGTCGCACGCGCTCTGGCAGCCGACGGTCTGGCTCCGGTTCCAGCGCGTGACGCACGTCACCCTAGCCATCGAGTCGCCGGCGGCGCTGCTCCACTTCGCGTCCGTGGCCTGCGGCGCGCCCCACTTCAGGTACGTCGAGCTCTTCCTGAGCTTCGGCGTCGCCGACGAGTCGGAGGCCGTCGACGAGCGCTTCGGCCACGCGCTCCGGTCGCTCGCGGCCGCGCTGCACCGCGGCGCCCTGCCGCGCCTCGAGTCGCTGACCGTGCACTGCTTCAACCGCCACTCGGAGTCCGTCGACAGCGAGTGGACGACGCGGCTCGCGGCGTTCGCCGGGCCCGACGCGCTCCGGGGCCTCGCGGCGCTCGCGCGCGCGCTGCCGCCCATGCTCGGCGTCGTCAACGCCGTGGAGTGGACCCTGCCGTCGGCCTTCGTCGAGGACCTGCTGCAGCGCGCGCCGGCGCTCGACCTGTCGCGGCACCCGCCGGGCGGCGGGCCGTCGGTGCTCGCGACGTGGGCCGACGCGGCCGACGACGGCGACGACTCGCTGCGGACGCTGCGGCTCCTGCGGAGCCGCGGCGCCGACGTCGCGGGCGCGGCCACGGACCCGTCGAGCCCGCTGTCGAACGTCGTCCACAACGGCTGCGTCCGAGCGACGAAGGCGGTCTTGGAGGCGGGCGCGGACCCGGACGAGGGGCGGTGCTGCGGGCCGCCGCTGCTCATGGGCTCGGGCGTCTGGCACGACGGCGACGTGCTCTGCCCCTGCTGCTGGCTGGACCGCACGCCCGCGGGCGCGCTCGACCCGGACCTCCCGTCGCGGCGCGCCAAAATCCTCGCGGCGCTCCTCGACGCGGGCGCGGACCCGGCGAGGACGCACGCGGCGGCGCCGGGCCTCACGGCGGCGCGGGGCGTGCTCCGCCACCTGCGGACCCTCGCGGACGACCGGGAGGACTCCGACGACGACGACGACGCCGCGGCGCGGCTCCAGGACCTCGGCTTCTCCGCGCTCGTGCCCGGGGGCGACGACGACGTCGGCATCGACCGCCACGGCGCCTGCGAGAAGAACCACCTCCAGGGCGGCCGCGTCGGCTACACGAAGGCCCTCTTCGCGATGGCCGCGCACATCACCGCCGCCGTCGAGCGCCGCGCCGCGGCCGCCGCCGCGCCGCCGGCCAAGAAGAAGCGGACGAAGAAGCGCAAGCGCGAGGGCGACGTCGCGACGACCATCGCGAGCCGGACGCGCGCGCGCGCGAGGTGAGTGGGTGGGGGGGGCCTAACGTTGCTCCTGGGCGTCTTTGGGCTCTATCGGGGCGGGCGGTGCGAGCTCGGTCGGTCTCGAGCGCGCGGATGATCAGCTGCCCCACATCACGGAGTAGCAACCAGGTTTGCGCCCTGACGGCTCGAGGCCCTCGAAGAAGACGTGATCGGATGGGCCGTAACGCTGCTTCGACTCGTACTTCGCGATCGCGTCGAAGAGCTCGCGGACCGTGAACGCGGTCCCGTTCGCCGCCTCGAACGTCTCATCGGGGCCGCCCATGCCGAAGAACCCTGCGGTGAGAGTAATCTTTGATCCGAACTCCGGCACGGTGAGGTTGTCTAAGTCCGCCGCCTTCTTCTCGGATTTCTTTTGCTCCTCCTCTGTATCCAAGCACCAATCGATGTAGTAGTAATCCTCGATCTTCCCAGCATGGAGGCTCGCGGAAATGGAATTGAAATCATCCTTTGAGAGCGACATGGCGTCGCAATTCACCGACACTTTGCCCCCGCACAGCTGCAGCTGGAGAGGCGAAATCGCTGAATCTGCGGCAATAAATTTTGCTTTCAAGAGACAGCTTGTCGACCTTCTGCTCCACAATGGTGCTCACCGACGCCCAGAAGATGCAAAATGCGCGTTTGACGCACGGCTCCGAGTTCTTCTATCGCGTCGCACACTCGGAAGTCTCGCTAACCGCCAAGGAATCACCCGAATTTGTCATGCCCGACTGCGAAGACGCCAGCGAGGCGGAGCTCGAAAATCTCGCGGAGACCCTCTGCGCGAACGTCTCGCGGTTCCAGGGCGCCGTCTCCACCGGCGACGACGACTTCGGCTCGGTGTCCGACTTTGCGGTGTCGACCGCCGACTTCAAGGTCGACGGCGTCGCGTTCGCTCTCGACAAGAAGTTCCAGGGCATGTCGCAGTGCGACATGGGCATCGCGACGCTGCTCTGCCGCATCGGCAAGGGCGCGCCCTTCGAGCTCCTGTCCCTCGGCGGCGGCGAGAACTCGGGCTACCCGTCCGAGGCGAACGCCGCGGCGTTCAAACGCCTCACGAAGAAGCTCGGGCTCGAGCACGCGTCCCCCGCGGAGGTCCTGGCCGTGATCATCGCGGTCGCGGACCCGGGCGGGCTGCTCGCCGCGCCCCTGCTTCGCGTGCGGAACAGCGAGACCGAATTCTACTCGTACTCCGAGGACTACTTCGGCCCGAGCTACGGCGACGACGATATGTCGTTCGCGGGAAAGGTCCCGATCTTTGGTGAGGCCATGCCCCTGATCAACTACCTCGTGCCGGGGAGCGACTCGAGCGACGACGAGGAGGGCGACGAGGACGAGGACTAAGCGGCGCATCGCGACGCGCCGACCCCCGGACGCGCCGCGCCGCCCGGACGCGCCGCGCCGCCCGGACGCGCCCGCCCGGAGAGCTCCTACTAGTAGAGAAGTTAGTTCGCCTTCGCCTTCTCCGCGAGGGCCGGCGTGCGCGAGACGCAGTCGGGCTCGGGCTTCGCGGCGTCCGCGGCCCGGCGCACGGCCTCGACGTTGCGGGCCGCGCGGTCCTTCTGCTTGAGCTTGTCCGCGCCGTCGTAGTAGGGCTTGTAGGTGCCCATGAGCTTGTCCCAGATCATGAAGTACTGGGCCAGGTTCGTCGTCGGGTAGCGGTGGTGCGTCTCGTGCGCGCGCACCGTGTACTCGAAGCCCGCGAACG